CCCCGCCCTCCCTTCCTGCTCCGGTCCGCGCGCCTGGCCCTTTCCCTTTCTCGTTCTCGAGCCGAACTCTTCCTCCTCCGCGCGAGAGAAAGTTGACCTCGTTCGTCCTTGCCTGACATGCTGCTGCCCGCGGCCTTCCTTCCCGAAGTCGTGTCAGTCTCTCTGAGTTGTGGTTTTCCTTTTCTTGGTAGTTTGACTCTGGGAAGCTTGTTCCCTGGTACACTTGAACGGCAATAATTTCTCTTCTTCCCGATGCTTCCTTCGCTGCCATTGGTCTCGCCGCTCGGTCCGAGAGGCTTTGGTGGCTTCGCCTTCTGTGAGCAGGGAGCATGTCTTTTTTTCTTTGACCCGATTTGAGTGTCGTGGATAGTTGGGGGTGGTCTCTTTTTTCTTTGTTTGGCCTTTGCTGGACTTAGTCTGGCTCTAGTTTGAGGGGATTTGGTTTGCTTTATTTGGCCCCTACCCGTGAGACCCATTGAAATTCCCTGAGTTTAATTTATTCCTTCTTGTTGAGTTTGAATCATTTGGAGGGTTATGGATGAATCAAGTTTGTCATCCAAAAAAAATTATAATTATTTTAGTTATCATTTCATGTTTGTCAGGGAAGCATAGTTGCCTTTGGTGGTCTTTTTATTGGTTTTAGCCGTGAGCCCCTTTGTGCTTTGGATGGACTTGGGTCGTGGGTTTTTGCAGCTGTTCTTTGCTGCCTTAAACCGTGAGCTTCATTAGTTCTTTTTATGCCCCTTTGTTGCCTTAAATATAAGCCTTACCTGTTGTCTTTTAGGTTGCCTTTGGTTATGGGCCTTGTTGGTTGTTTCCTCTTCTTTGTTGGCCCTGACCGTGAGCCCTTTTGTACCCGTTCCTAGCTTTGGGTCGAGAACCTTGTTAGTTGTTTCCTCTTCTCTGCCGACACTGGTCGTGAGTCTTACCTGCTGTGCAACTCTTTGTGGTGATCCCGATCGTGAGCATTTATATGATTTTGCGGGAAAATCTCTATGATTGTTCGATATGTAAAGTTATGGATTAAGTTGGAAGTCAGAAGATTTTGATATCAACTTTGGGATCTGGGGAGGATTTGCAAGCTTTATTTTGGGAGAGTATTTGGTTGATTCGATTAATCTTGCGTTCTTGGGGTTTGGAGAATCAGCGCAAAGGGATATTTTATGTTTGTTAAGAAAGACCTCGGGCCCTACTTTTTCAGGTCTTTTCGATACGAGTTTTGAGAACCGATCCAATCTCTTTTTTGGTGTTTTAGATGGATCAGTGTCTCCTCTCTCTCACCCCATTTTTGTTCTTTACTTTCCTTGCTTCTTGATTCGGGTTTTTCGATGCTTATATCTGATGCATAAGTGTCCACGTATAGTCTTTTGCTATACGTGAAACCATCAAGCAAGGTCGCAAGTAGTCGTTTTGGCGCGTACGATATTGATGATAAAGGCACACAGAAGATAGAGCAGAAAAATGCTCTATCCTATAACATCAAGATCGAGGCATTTGATGAACAATAGGATATGGTATCCTTCACCGACATAAGTCTAGCGGTAGTCGGCTCGAACCTCCTCAGGTTGTTGGCAGTCCTATGCCCGATAGCGTAATCGACTCGTGGACAACCAAAATAAAAGAAAAGATAAGTTTTTGATAAATTATTTTCAAACAAAATATACTTCTCCACGAAACAAAATGGATAACTCTTCTTTGCATGCTTAAGAAGTTGTGTGTATGTCAAAAACATAAATTTTAAAAAA